TTTATATATGCAAAAAAAAACCAATTCAATATACATTTTATTCTAATTGAAAAATAAAAAAATATTTTTAAATACAGCCATGCATGACTGGCAGAGACGTGAAGGGCCTGCTAGTTGACCTTAATTTTTAGTCATTGATTTTCAATTTATTTGATCTGAAAATCGAAAATTAAAAGAATGTATAAGAAATAAAAATGTTTATGTGAATAGCGCAACCCAAAAGTGTTCCGTTTATGTATAGTATGAGAGGTGAGTTAGCCAAGGGCCATATATGATATATAGCTAAAATATTAACGTATATTATTTGAGGTTTAATATTTTAGGTATCATCTGGAGCAGGAAGTGACCATGTTCAAATTAATTCTGCCGTTTTCTAATCAAGGGACAGTACTCCAAATTATTCCGTACCCTCTTATAAGCAAACGTACTTTCATGTTAGCTATCACCTGCTTATCATTAAATTATGTGATTATACTTATTGATTACTCTAATTAACATATATTTGTTCATATATAATACAAACCTTTTCATTAAACAGCATTGATATTAGTATTTTCTTATCTGCAGAACACAGTAACGTGCTAATGGTGTTCTAAATTATACATTATTTGGGTGCATGTATTGACTTTGTATTTATAAATGCAGTGTCGAATTTTTGACTTTGTATTTCTAAATGGTAACGGTATTCTAAGTTATATAATTTATTGTTTGACACCACCTTGGACTTTTAATTAACAAGAAAAAGAATGTACACTTTGTGGAAACAGATAATGTGTACGGCTAATTATATATTGCGAGTTATAATAATACTTTATATATCTATAAAAGAGAACTCAGATTTCTTATCGACCACTCTTTCTCGGTTGCACGTTGTTAAAAGCATTTGTAATTTTTAATGGAAAATATGCCTTCCTTATCGAACTAGCTAACTAGTTTATGACAAAGTCTTTGCCGACTGATTTATTTATGTAACCCTAACATAGGCATCCTCATGAAAATATAGAATTGTCACACTTTTAATCATCCTAATATAGTTAATATTATTAGCTCAATTCAGCAAGAGTAATGCTATGTAGACAATTTTTTTGGACCACATTTGCAACTCATGTGATGTGTTACTAATATGAATTAAGCACGTTAGTCAACACTTAAGTAATAATTCAATCATTAACAATCATATCATATGTATGGTTTAAATTGATGGTCTCCTAGCATTACCCATTCAGCAAATGTACATTTAAACCATAAAATTTATTCTAATGGTGGGGATTGACTCGAATTCATCAAGTTGTGCTACAACGGATTTTGGTGCTTAAAACTATAACCTATATATAAATACACCTACTTATAACAAATACATTGTTAAAAATAAAATCATATTTTGTTGTCTAGATTCAAACTTGAATTAACGTCAACTAAATAATCAATACTATTCAAGAGTTGTCGCAATTTATATTTGCCAATAATATTATCTACTTTCAAGTTTCAAAAAATACATTGGAAAATAGTACAGGAATAACAATCTATATAAACTATCCCACATGGTAGAGCTAGGTGCGTGAATATGCCATGAAAATTTAACTAAGAACAAAGGGTGGAGTGGATGGTGTGACAAGAATGATCGGCAGCAGCATGCCATGTGTGTAAAAAAACTTATGATCGATCAGAGGGAGGGATAATAAGGACCAATGGATAGTATGCAAGGGGTCCTCTAAGGACCACTTTTCCCTGACCTATCATCCATCAACAGAACTCTTGCAGATTTCTGCTCTTTCCATGTGATCTCTCACTCCTCTGCAACCGTTAATTTGTCCAAGCACAAATAGGTTTTCTACCTAACCAGAGCGGTTGCGACCTCTCTCGATCGGACACGCACAGCACGAACCTTATCATATTTATTATTTCCTTTTGTACGTGCATGCATATGTAGTTTGTTATCATTTTTAGTTCAAATTAGGGTTCTACGCTGCATACGGAACCAACAATGTACAATGTGAGTTTGTAGTGAATGTTAACACAATTTGGTTGTTATGATTAATCTATACCCTAATAGAGAAGAGCGAATTGCATCAGTCTTATGATGTCAATGCGCCTGTATTTAGAGGAGAGTTATCTCGCCAATCTAATAGTTGCATGTGTGTTATATTCAGTGTGATTTTCTACCCACTACAAGAAAATGGAGCAACAATCACGAACCAAGCACGGCTGTTGTTGGAGTACTTATTGCTAAAAGCATGGTAAAAAATCAGACAAAAAGTTAAAAAAATAAAAAATAAAAAATCATACATTAGACTGTTTGTCACGCGTTTAACAATAACTACGCCAACAACAATTATACTTGCTCTGTGGTTGTTACCCCTTTGAATAGAGTGTTCTAACTTGAGGAGACGGTTATTGAAATGAGTTATTGACAGAAACAGCAAAATGAGGTAAATATCATCTTTATTCCCAAAGAATATACGGGTTAAATTTCTTGTATGGTCGTTTTATTACGCGTGCATCATCTTCTGATGTGATTTACAAACAAATTAAAACATGTGCTTGCATGTCAGATTAGCATGTAATGTTGGCACAGAGTATGGGACACCTGCAGAGAGGCTGGCTAAATAAAAGGACATGAATAGAGTACCCATCAAACTTCTAACTTGGATCGGACCACAAATAAACTCCTAATATTTTGAACAATAAAGTTGGCCTTTTTGAAAGAAACAAAAAAAGGCTAACTACATTTTCCACTCTTCATGTTTGGAGCGATTTTTAAAATAGGTCAGGAGGTTTCATTTTTCTCACATTGCCCCCTATATAAGGTTTTGAAACTATATTAATTTAAACATTTTTTCCAATGAATTATTTAAATCTTTACTAAACTGATGATATAGTGAGTATAAAACCTGTAACTTGGTTGACATGTAAACTACATTTGCATCACATAGCCTACAACTCATAAATAATGACTTAGTTGACATGTAAACTACATTTTCACCACATAGCCTAAAATCTCATAAATAATGGATACTAAGACGTTCAAATATATAAGGTGTAAATTGATGCAAATTCAAAATTTTAGGGGCAATGTGACAAAATTAAAACCTCGTGACCCAATTTAAAAATCATCTCAATCAAATTTTGAGGGTGTTAAATGGAGTTAGCCTAAAAAAATATGTTGGCCAACTTGGCCAACTAATTACCCCGTAAAATTAGTAACCAAAAGGAATCTTAGGCTGGAAGTAATACAGATGATGAAGCTTCAATTCAATGAACCAAACACAGGCTCGATCTCGGTGTTTCTAGCCGCCCCTACCACCACTATCAAGTCCCACATATGTCAATCCATCAAACATGTTGTAAAGCCCTTTGTTTTCTTTTGGATCGGTGCATGAACCCATCAGCCGATATCAACTCAACCCATGTGTTGGAGTTGGTTTCACTTGCTATAGCTCTTGGCCGCACAAAAGAATCCCTTTCTTTTATTATCGAGAAATGGCGATCGAACTCAGAACCTCATCTAACATTGAGAAGAGAACTACTATAGTCCTACTAGACCACATTGTTCATGCTTCTATAGTAGTATATACCAAGTTTTGAGCTTGATCTAGATCAGCTATGATCTTGGGTGTTAAGCAAAGCAACGTCGATTTTGAGCAATGTAATATACGGTTCACCATTTATCTTTATTTACTAGAGAAAAATCTAGGGCATTCGATAATAAATAAGCAAATTGAGAGGGTCCTTCACCTGTTAAGTGTTCACACCCTCTCATTTGGTTGCTAGCTAGCTACCTCATCGTGCATGATCAGTTGAGGACCAAACAGAAACCAACCCTAGATAACAACCCTTCACATTTATGCCCTAAAGGGGTCAAAGCAATTAGGTATAGCCCCACAAATGGGGGACAAAACAAGAAAATTTTGTCTTTGGTGGTCATTGAGATCCTGTGTCAATGTTTGTGCAGTACTACCACACATGACTGCATGATATGAGCACAAAGAAACCCTAATTCTTCACCATATATCATGCACCTTTTAGCACTTTAATTTAGGAACAATAATTGGTCGTTAAATTTTCAATGGCCACTTTTGCTTTCATCCAATCAAATTTAAATATGTATCGAATTTGTGTTTACACTTTTAATTATTTAAACATGTGTTCAAATCTAATTAGATAAAAGTAAGACTAGCGGTTGAATTTTCAACCGCGAACTATTGTTCTTAATTTAGGCTCTAAAACATGTGAAACCCTAGACAAAGCAGGTTTGCCATCTGATGATGGAGGATCCCTCATCCCTGTAAGGTGAATTTCCCGATATAATTATTCTTTGAATTAAATATGAAGCAGCACACAAGTTTAAAAGCATGTCTCCCTTGCCGTACGCAGTTTGAAGGTAATTATTACTTGCCTTTATCCTCTCACGTGACTGACCATAAAAGCTAAACATGCATGATGCGAGATCTTCCCAAAATAAAAATAGAGGGGATAAAAAGACGAAAAAACTAAAACATCATGAGATATTTCGTAAGGTTGTCTGATTTTGCTAGTATTTGGTAGGAGTGCTTGGTTAAAATAATTTCGACTAAAATTACACGGAATTGGATAAGACTAAAATATAAAATGAGTTATTCTTTAGTAAAAAATGTATGCGAATAATATATGAGTCATTCTTTAGCAAGAAATGCATGCCAATAATATTGTTAGACACCTATACCTAAGTCTGTTATTCTCACATAAACCTGCTTAGCTATACTAACATCTTTAAAATTTTAGAAGCATATGTTAAATTGAGTGGCGAAAAACATCCATGCTCATGCACACTGGTGCAAGTTCAATCCCCACCGCTTCTCCTTCCCCTAACAACTAACTTTTTAACCCATTAACGCTATCGGTCTATTAAAAGATGGTACTATCAAGTATCAAACTGAAACAATCAGATCCATTTTTCTACAACCTTTTGCAAATTGACAAGCCTTCACCAATCCACAAATAATGAAGGTCGACTGAGAACGGAAAAGTAACAAAGACATTCATTATTACAAGGATTCGGAAGTATCTCCAGTTTTCTCAAAACTTCGGCTATGCAAACTTAAACCACTGTCTGTCCTGACATCTTCAAATTTTCTGATTCATATACTATTTCTCAAACTTCGGCTAGTTACGAATTGAACAGCTGATTTAGATATGCTTACTTCTAAAATCAATCAAAATTCGACACCAGAAATACACAAAACTTGTTAGGAAATGCTGACCTACGATTTCTGCCATGTATTGAGCTATACATCCCAATCGATTGGATGCCAATAGCGCGCCCACAGAAAAACAAGCAGAGTACGGGGCACATGTGGAGCTAAGGTCTTGAAGCGAATTCCTGTTCCTCATATTTGACGGTTTTCCAATAATGCTTGGGCATCATCTGCTGCAGATGACGATGCTTACAATAACTCCTCACAGATGGTGTAACAAGAGAACATTGCTTGCCCATAGAGATCATTGTCACATCAGCGACTATACGTCTCTTTGATAACAAAATCCGGTGAAACGAATGGCTCTTTGTCTCTCAAATGACCACCTCTTTAAGTAAAAGCACATCATCCCGTGGATGAGCTTCTTCTATCCGAACAAGAACTTCATCTCCAATTTGGGCTCCCACGGATACCCACACGGAAGATTGAAGTCCCACCTGCAAAATTTCAAGTTGGACACAATTGACGTAAGTGCAACAAATCAGCAATGTTTTGCAAGTGACCAAGATCAATTAAAGCTTAAGAATATCACACTCGCAAATAAAAGAACAGTTGAAAGCAAGATAGAAGGGAAAACACAAAAAAGATAATAATCTCAGTTGACATATACCATATATGTCCACACTAGATCTGCAGAGTATATAGGATATTCCATAAGAGTCGTTGATATAATCTATCATGAAACTGTACACCTAATTATTTGGAAACTGTCCTAGCATGTAATTCTAATACGGTGCTGGAAGTTTCAAACTACAAATAACACGAGACAAATATCTGCATTTACAATTAAAAGATGCAATGGGATGCTACCTCAACTAACAATATGGCTGCAATCCGATCCTTAATGAATCTAAGAATCAGCGCATGATATTTTTTTTCTTTTGGCTGTCTTCTCAGATATTCTAATATCCAGTAGCGAAGACTGCTGCTAAAGAGCCTCCTTGCTACTCTAACATTCATGTTTACAATAGATGCCATCCCCTCCAACTGACCAGCCGAGAAAGGAAGAGATTCCCCTGCAAGAAATGCTTTCACCTACATAACAAATGGATTCATCAATGATTAACAACATTAACTCAACAGTGTGGCTGAATACAGTGTAAATGTTTTCATAAAACATGAAGAAGTCATAGCACTTGGCCCCACCACCTTCACTAAACTCTCTGACCTTGGCTTTGTCGAATTTATAAGATTTAATGAGTAAGGTTAAATAAATGTGTGCTCAACTAGCACGATATTACATATAAAACTGTTCAAGCTGCCCCGTGAGAAGAATATGGCTAAAGACCAGTTTAAAAAAGGGTAGATACATAAAATACCTGCATTTTTATTCTGCGTGCCAAATCTGTCCCACAGAGGGAATATAGACAGAAACATGATTTGATTACCTTAGTAAGTCTGGTTTGAACAATAGACTCGACATAGCAGTGACACTTAAAAGTTTGTCCACTTGCAAAAGGCAAACAAGAGATCAAAAACACTATATGATTTTGTTGATAACAGACCCATTGAGGGCAAGGTCCACATTTAACATCGTAGATTATTAAGAACTATACTTGCATGAAAGAAACTCACCTGATAGTGAGCTAGTAGATCCATATATCTACGGATGGGAGATGTAAACTGAACATAACCCGGAAGTCCTAAAATTCCATGACGTATAGGTTTTCTGAAATCAATTTCAGCAGCACGCATTAGTTTAACAAGAGCAGAGCTTCTAACAGGTCCTTCTGGAAGATGTGCATATACAGAGGTGTCGATGTTGGACTGGGGTTGTCCTCTGTAGGGTAAAGGAATGTTATTTCTAGAACCAAAAGTGGCTATAACTTCTCCGCAGAGTACCATCATCTCAGTGACAAGTCGCATTGCAGGGTCTGCCTGGTTTTCTACATACAAATTAATAACAGGCTCCGGATCCTCTGGATTTACCACTTTGATGCGTGCTTCCAATGTGGCTGTGTCAATTGCGCCCTGAAAAATGCACATATAGTTATTATCAGAAGAATTGGAGGGTTACTGATACATATCATGCCTACAAAACAATCCTTGCTGAGATCTTAAATCAACATTTTCCATTAACAAATGTAAATGCATGTTTGTTTTATAGATGAAACTGTTTGAAATGAGTTTTAGATCTGTTCTTTTTTCCTGACAGGTTTCCGATTTTTTTTCCCAATATGTCGTGATCTAACGATTTTGCACAGGATTAATATTTATGGTAGAATCTCTATAGGGTCCATGTTATTATGGATAGTACAACCATGATCATGAGGATCATGAGACACCAAAAATATACATTGGAACTTTGAATCACACTACAAAGGTTCGGAGTTAAATTGGCTCTGGTTCTTTAAGTTCAACCTGTTCTCGTCTCCATATTGACCGGAGAGTTGCAGCCTCAGACAGGATTTTCAGTTCAGCCTCTTCTTGCAGGTTCAAATGAAGAAGCTCAGATGCACTCTCATATGTTAACATGTATGTTGGTTTAATGATTGAGTTGTCCACTGAATATTCTGCAATACTGTCGAACCCCAAAGAAGGTGGAGTTAGTTCATTAGTAAAATTTAGTTGGCAAAAAGAAAACTACCCTTCAAATTAGCAAAAGCTATAATGCTTTAAAGAAATATCGACCCAACTCGTTCCGAATAATTATATAATCCTAGCAGTGTAAAAAGCCTCAACGGTGGGAACATTCTACATATGTAGTTGGTAATAGAAGACTCCTAGATTAAGTTGGATGTCTTAAACTCCTATGAACTTCCAGACATAAGTTTAACATACAGGTTGCCATTCATTTTGGCTAAGAGACATAAATATGGTAGTGGCATAAAGCTAAGGTCATAATACACATATCCAGATGGGACGTAATATGGATTTTGGAATTATCTTATTGACAACAAGAATGATTTATTCATTTCACGCTCTGTAGAATAAGGATTCACTCAAATTTAAAATATATCTAACCACCACCTCCAATCCCAATTCTATGGTAATCAACAACCTTTAAGTAGTAATGGTTCCCAAGCCGTCTGTGTAACTCCATTAAACTAAAATACAGCATCAATTGGGATGAGATCTCAAAGAGGGGGGCCAATTGCAAAAAGCAAAGTTTTACCTTCCATCGGAGTGCAGCACCACAGATACAGTAACTGCATTGCAAATCTCTCCTTGTTGCAAACTCATTCCCTCCATGGCAAGTTTCTCCGGGAACATAGGATAAGTAGCAGTGGGCAAGAATACAGAAGTTCCTCTTCTCATTGCCTCCCTATACATCATAAATTAATAAGAAATGAGTGCAACACGAACATTTATCCATTTTTTCTTGTACTGTTCAAGAGCTACCTGTCTATTATGCTCCCAGGTTGGACAAACCTAGTTGCATCTGCAACATGAATCCATATTTTAATGCGTCCATCTTGTAGCCTCATTGCACTCAGGGCATCATCGAGCTAACATATTACAATAAAAAAATTCACAAGAGAGGTCAAATTTTGATGCGGCAAATTTTACTTTTTTGACAGCAGAGGTATGATAACATTTTTAGGCATGTGAAAAACATACCTCATCAGCCTCGTCCACATCAATAGCATAGACCTTCAAGTGAGTGAGATCTCTCCTTTCAATCTATAGGAAGAACATTTACAGAATTAGTCTAATTATTTAACTAATTATTTTCACACACACACACACACACACACACACACAAAATGATTCCATGTAGAACTAAGTATGTGAAATGAGTATTACTAATTTACTACATTTATAAAAGAAACAGGCTAACCACATCTAAATCAGATGAATCTGACAGAAGATGTTCTGCAGCTGCTATAACTTCATCTGAATGATCAGTACGGATGTTCAACTTCAACAGGTCAAGATTCATGTGTACAGGAAAATACCCAATGTCTATGAGGAGATTCAAAGCTGATGAGGCTGTTTTTACCATCCCCATTGTTCTTAGGATCTGACAAAAATGTATATACAAGAAGATACAGATCAGGAACAAAGCATCATGTATTATCACACAAAGAGCATTAAAGAGAAATAGGGCATAACATCATTCAATATCTTTAGCTCCTGAAATACCATATGAGGGTAACTGTTCTCTTGGCAACCCATACATTTTCAGAGCTTAGAAGTAAGTACCTATTACAACAGGAAACTAAAACACTGTCGTTTAAGTCAGACTTACTGTTCCGGCTGCTTTCCTTTGGTCATCATTTGTGCAGGCATCAATAGCATAAGCTTCAAGAGACTCAATTTTGTGTCTGATTTTCTCTTCAGCCAACCAAGAAGTTTTGGGAGGTTTAGCATTTAAAGGCATTGCCTTAGCAGATTTCAGTAATTGTTTAAACTCCTGCAGTTCTTTCTCAGCAGCCTCCTTTGCGAGCTTCCTACGCAGAAGTTCCTCAACCTAAAAGGACTTTCATGTTAAAATTATTGGAAAAGCAAACAAGTAATCAAGATGAAGGTTATCAAAGATAACTCAACCCAATAATTTTGCATTTACTTCTACCAGGTGTCAAGAATAACTGGCTTTTTTTCTTGTCAGGCCAAAAACAGGGCAAAAGCACCTTAATCTAAAAATCACTACGGTCAATACTTGGTCGCGAAATGGTCAATAGAAGGGCACCATCCTATCCCTCTCCATGAACAATGAAGCAGATTCCCTCTTATGAAATAGCATATGACAAGAATCACTCCAAGCATACATCTATCTAGAATCACTCTTTCTTGAAACACATCTAACATGAGGAGCCCTAAAGATAGACATGTTCAAACCAAGGCAACATATCTAATTGGCCTCTCGACCTACATGAACCATTTTCTTGGACAAGATGTTGAACCAATGTATATTGTACCTGTACAGCAGGTCGAGGTCCATATATAGAGCGAGAACCTTTTGTCTCCAGAACAGTGAAGTATACTTCGTCTTCTGAAAGCAACAGATGAGCACAGTAGCATTCAAGAGGCTCCACACTACCAAATATCATCTGTATGAATGAGATAGTGTCACTGGAAGAAGCAGTAGTACATAAAAACTTTAACTGGAATGTACGGTACCTCAGCTAATTCTTCTGCCGTCACCCGCTTATTCTTTTCAAGGAGCTCAACCCAAGCAAATTCAAGCAGTGCTGGATCCTGCACCAAATCAACTAATATCCTTCACCAAAACACAAACCACAAGAAGGGAAAACAAAAACATTTTATCCGCAACTACTTTTGGGCAGGAACCAAATCACCAACCGAGCTAGCTTGAGCTTTCTGAATAAATTCTGATATCTCTGTGTGGTCAAAATTCTCAACACCGGGAACAATATATGTAATCTGTTGTGGTTTAATCGATGATGTAACACCATTCTGACATAAGTACAACAATCAAAACACAAACTTCAGAATACCAGCAAAGCAAACAAGCTATAATCTTTGCGTTTATTAAAGTTAAAAACAACGAACAGTGAGTTTTCCAACACCTAGCAACCTATTAATATGCCGCATTAGTTGTTTTGTGTTTCTAGTAGAACCTGATCGGACACCATCCAGTTCTTCTTGCCATCGGGCTTCTGCGCAACGGCCAGCAACACTCTCTCTGCATCCTTCTTGAATTCAAGCAGCAACCCTTGCTGCAGCGTCCGGCTCACAAGCTTATCTTCTACAATCCCACCACTACTTGTCAGCTCCACCCTTCACAACAGTATATCATTTATGCATTAAAGATGTGCCTTTTCTTTCTATTCAACCAAACATCGCATAATTACTTTACTCTAGGCTTCGTTTGGTGTCTAGGATTGGACTGGATTGGAATGGATAACCTGAAAAGGTTTATCGAAGGTCATTTCGAGGGGATTAGAATGGGATTGTTCTCCCGTCTAATCGTACAATGAATTAGTTTTCTTCGAGTAATCCATCTCCCGCCACATTTAGTCCTTTCACATATCCAATCCAATCCAGTTATCTTTGCCAAACAAAGTCCAAGTTCTCTAAGTTCATAATTAACGATAATTAGAAGAAAATTAGGAGAAACGTGATAATTTTGTGAGGGAGAGAGAGAAGGTACTTGGCGGCAGCGGGAACTAGTCTCCGTCTGCGCAGGGCGCCGAGCTCTTCCATGACGCTATCGACGAGGCTGTGGACGGAGGTGCTTTGAACGCCGCCGCCATGGCCGGGAGCTAGCTTACCGGACCGAAATATCGGGAAGCGAATGCCTAATTTGGAGAGTCGGCGGAACTGGAGAGTAGTGAAATGGCAAGGGCAGCAGCGGAAAGGAAGGAGAGTGGGGGAGGAAGCGGAAGAGGAGGCGGAGCGGAAGATTGAGCAGCTGCCCACAGTGGCTCGAACCGCCATGGCCGATGAAAGGTTTGGTGATATGCGAGCGAATTTTTGGGTTGCTCTGCTTCTTCTACTTCATGATAAAATGGGCTATCACTTCGTGGAGGGATTTCAATATGACCAGTTGAGGTGGTACCCGTTTAAATTTAACGGTGACATATGTATGCTAAAAAGTTAACAACTTAAAATACAAAATTTCTCGCTAATTTTATTAAAACATGTTGTATGTCATTTATATTTCAGTCACAATTAAAAATTTCTCCACTTCGTGACTGCGAAATGTTTGTTCTTACACTCGCCCTTTTGTTTGAGTTTTGTCACACCCAAACTCTTGTATTGAAATGAAACGATTGGATTCATAATCATTTCGTTTTTTTTTTTTTTTAGTGTGAGGTCATTTGTAGTTTTTCGGTTTGTTAATATGTACATGAATACTAAAAAGCCGTTTAATAACTATTTCTGTTGTAAAATTGTGAGGATAAATGACCACATGCTTTAAGTGAGGAAGACTTGAGAAGAGTAATGTAATTGTTGTTATGTGATGTTTTCAAAAGGGCAATAGTAGTGTAATTGTTGTTGTGTGATGCTTTTAAAAAGGGCAATCATTTCACATTTTTGTTTGTTACGGATGTGGCTCTATATAAAGAGCACTTCGTATGTGATTACAATACACAGCAAAGAAAATAGGTGAAAGCAATAATACCAGTATCCCTCCCTCTTTTTACCTGCAATCCTTTTGTGTTATAGTTACAAAACTAAACAGTGTGATATTTTGCACTCACTTCTCTCGTATCCCCAACAAAGGTTATTTCTCTAACTTTTGTCTATTTATAACAATTTCCATTTTTTTCAATTTTAAAATAAAAAGGTGAAAAATTAAAAACGAAATGATTATCAAACGACCTCTCAAGGGCAAAAAGAATTTTGATCGGTTTGATAACTATTTCGTTTTGAGTTTTTCTCTTGTAATAAGAGGAAAAGTCTGGGAGAAGGGAAGAACAAAGAATGGAGAAGAATGTGAAATAAAAGTGTATAAAGACACAAAGAGAAAATAAAAAATTGAAAATAAATTCTTGTTACGCAATGATATTAGGTTGGGGGTTGGAATAAGTCATAGTTGGATCAAGCCGCACAATAAGAAGTAAAAATTTGATATCGAACTAGCGATTTATGAGAGTCAAACATAATGCTTCTATTTAAAAGTGTACACAAATCAAATTCCTATTGATAGTAAAGATCAAGAGTCAAGATTACACGATGATATGAATACATATAATAACAAAGTTATACATCTGAGCAACTCATGGAACCTCTTGACTGCACAAATCAACTGCAAAGCTGAGAACATAACCCCTGGATCTGAGAACTGCTTGCATTTGGAACCGTATACGTCCCGTTCTTACCGTTGCTCGAGCATGTTAAATAGATTTGATCACCCATCTGGTTTGTCTGCAATGAGATCATCGCGCACAGGAGTCAGATCGATGCAGTTATCACACGATAAGTACTCGACAGACTGTATTTGCTCACAAGTGCCATACGTACATTGCCTCAGAACATTATTTCATAGTATATAAACCGACTCTTTCTAATGAACAATTCCATTTAACGCACAGGGACTTGGACAATATGCATCTACTACTAACTTAAGAAGTTGATCCAGTTTTAGAAAAATGGTTTGGATTGTAAAACTGATTGCGCGTATTAAATTATACGCACAAGTAGGAGCAGGTGTAGAGTGTTAGGTACCGTGCAGTATGCAGGCTCCGAGTTGCAGCTCCATCTTGAAGTTGGGACACAAGATAAATAATGACACCAAGAACAATGCTTATTGGCATCAACTCCCCGAAGAAGCATAACGAGGCCAACTGTAAACCTGCCATATCAGCAAAAATCAGTTTAGGTTGTAAATTTATGCTGCGTAATTGACTACTAAATTTTCAAATTACACAAACTTTCCCAGCCAGGAATGAATCCAAACTACCTAAGTTTACTATATATGATATCCCCCGGCTGCACCAATTTTGACATGAACTAATAGAAGGAGAACATACAACCAAGAAGAAAAGCAAGAACAAAAATGAGGGTGCTGAGTGTTGCAAAGCCTCTCCAAGTATACATGTTTCACTTCTAGAGAAACAAAGATCACACCGAAGAAATATACTGATATAGAGCTCTCCTCAGTCCGAACCCATGTCTCCAATCTAATTATTACTCCGGCGTAAGCTGCTACCATGTTTCGAAAAGGTTATCTGCCAGTCTATATGTAGGCATCTCCAAAATTGGCAAAGTTTCTATTATCAGTTTCCGACGCTTTGAGGCTTATTCCTAGGTAGAAGAAACCAAGAAAAAGCTTCAGCCAGGAATGGGAAACTCTACACTAATCTGGTATTTGAAATAGAGAAAGTTCTGTTTCATGATTACATTGAACTCCAAAAGCTAGATTTCAACATCCAGGCAAGTGCGCATTTCTCTTTTTATTTGGTACAAGAACTTTAGAAACTCGCTTTCAATACAAGTACAAAAAAAATTCCGGGCTGAAGCTGAGCAAAACCTGAAGTCCTAGAGGAGCTGTATATCGCCTAAAAAGAACTTATTAAAAATGTTAATTGGGTAGAAACAAGTCAGCATGTTATATTTTTAGTTAGTAGTAATCTTGTCTTTGATATACTGTTACTAGTACTATGGCAACCTAAATATGGAAACATGAAGTGCACAGAAGCACAGAAACAAATTGGCTTACCCAACAATTAAAACGATCACAGAGAGGACCCACAAAACGCACTGATAGGTCTTGAACTTTGATTTTGTTTGAGATGAGGCATATCCTGGACCTGGAGAAGTATATCTTTGGTTAACCCATCCGAATTGGGGGCGGATAAGAAACACAAACCCAAGAAAAAATCCCGAAAGGAATCCTCCAATATGAGCAAAGTTGTCAACGTGTGGGAGCGTCCCCACTGCCAAATTGATTACTATGATGATCAGGAGGGTGAAAAGAGCTCCAAACTGAACAAGAACAACGAATTAGATACGGGTTCCTGAATGTCACCAAATTTTTGTTTTCTGAAGTATGAAGCTCCTTTAAAGTAGTTCAACAATTACCTTACTAGCATAAATTGTCCAATTAGTGATAAGTTCAGAAAGCATGGCTCCCAGCAACCCGAAAAGTGCACCAGAAGCACCAACAGAGATGTTTGTTTGGATAAAAAGTGAAGACAACAAACTCCCACCAAGTCCAGAGATGACATATAGCAACCCAATCCGGACTGCAATAGAAACACACGAGAATAGCACAAACAACATGAGCAAGCTAAGTTTACTGAGATGAAGTAAAATAAGCAAAACCTACATCACCAAATCGACTTGGCTCGATGATAATAAAAGCCTAACTTGACTAGGTTGCAGTGCAAAGAATCATCAGTCGATTCCCTTGAATGATGAAAATGCTTATGATCACAAAGTTCTTTGAATTTGCAGATAATATATACCACGGAATTAGACTAAAAAAAACTAATTTTCGAATACATACCGAAGCCGAACTCTTGCTCTAACCGATATCCGATGACTAAAAGGCTCAACATATTAGCCAATAAATGGAAAACACCCCCATGTAACCAATTGCAAGTGATGAGAAGCCACCCCTGGTGTCTGTCAACCACCTTATTTACATCCAAAGCCCCCATCTTCTGCAACCTAAACCAACGAAAATCCAACACAATACCATTTTATACTTACAATCTCTATCAATTAACAACCTTTAGAGCAAAAAGGGTCCACCCCAATTGATTGAAAACTCTGATTACAAACACCCACCAAATGATTTCGGATCAATCCCCACTTGTAAAACATCTTTTTATGGAAACAGAACAACGGAAAGTATGCAAAACTTAGAACCAAGTGGTTTTCTTAAAGCACAAAATTGGAGCTAACTCAAACAAAATGTATCAAATTAACGATATGCAATCAATTAACAATTTCATAACAAAAACATCTAAGGGATCAGACCCAAATGAGATTAAAAGTTAGTACTTCACAAACCAATTGAAAATCTAATTCCAAAGTTCCAAATACCCACCAAATGATTTCGAATAAAGTTCTAAACTTGAACACATGTTCCCAACACATAACAATGAAAAGTAAAGTAAGAAATTTTGAAAACAAAGGGTTTGCAAGTGGTGGACAGGGCCTTTCTCTTCAACCCGCTGCGTCTTCGGGTTCAAACCCTTCCGCACTGGCCGTAGTTTAGATGAATTTAGCGTACATTATCCTATCGTTTGCCAATTTTGCTTAAAAAGGAAAATCGAAGCGAAAACAACCAGAATCATTCAAATTTAACAGCAGAAATTACGAACTCACGTCGATGAGGACGGTCCAAGAAGTGGGTTCTCCTTAAAAGGCTGGAAGGAGAACCTCCCCAAGAACGTGGCAATGCAAGAGACTGAGTTCTTGGGGCAGTTGTTGACATACATGGTGATGATGAACATAACAACGTTGGCAGCAACAAAGACAGGAATCAGCCAGACAACCCATTTCTTGAAATGCTTGATCTCTCTGTACACGGGCGGAGACGCGGCCGGAGCTGGGGAGGCTAGCGGCGGCGTCTCGATGTCTACTGGGTGGACTACGTTGTAGTGCCGCCGTGAGTTCACTCTCATTTGGGCCCCCGATGACGGTGGCTCCCCCGCCATTGAAAGAGTCGAAAGATCGATTGGTTTGAGAGATGAAGGATGTGGAAAGTGGAGACGGAGATGATGAGAGAGAGAATGGTAGTTTTAGAGAGAGAGAGAGAGAGAGAGAGAGAGTCAGGGAAGTGTAGCTGGTTTGGTCAACGTTGGAGAAGCTGCTTGCCTAAAATTGAACTGGTTCGTTTGGCCGACAGTGTCCTCCATACGTGTCTTCGCCTAACAATTCTTTACCTTCAAGCCATTGTTTGTTCGAGCTTTTGACGTAGTGTTACGAAATTTAAAAGGATACTACTATAAGATATAAATTTTAGAATAATGCAAAATGCTAATTTTTTTCGCCATACAATATTTTTAAGTAAGAGGGTTTATATTCGATCCACATTAATAACAAATTTAATATTTAATTAGATTTTTATCTG